GCTAGGTGACGTTTTCTTTGTCATTGCGTGAATAGATTGATAAAGAAAAAGAGACGTTACTGAGCTTTTCTTCTTGAACTTTTTATTCAAAAATTTAATTTGGTTTAAAAAGAAATTTTACCAATATAGTCATTGGTGAGACATAAACGTCTCAATCAATCAATAGCAATATATAATATAACAGTCTACCCCTTCGGGAACCTCAAAGGTGACTGATTCATATTCGGAACATCTTTAGTTTGAAATTCGGAACGCCTTTTGGTTGTATGTTAGATCTATTCCTAAAATCGATATCGGAGTTATCCAAAAGCTTGTAATTAGCGACAGAAGCAAACACACGAAAGCTGAAACAGTGGAGGTCAAAATCTGGGACTGAAACCAATATTAATAGTCCCTGATGGGTTTCCCCCAGGGGTGACTAAAAAATATATCTCAAAACATTGGGAATATTCGATTCTAATTTGTTGGGAAATAAATTACCAATAGATACTATTTTTATATATCCAATTCTGAAGAAACTTGTTTTTCTTCTGTTTATGTTATTTTCATTAACACTCAATCCCATCCCACGGCAAGAGAATGAATTCCGATTCAATGTCAGTGTCCGGTTTTCGATTTTATAGTCACCTCCAACATTTCCGTTTCGGTATAAACAAATCTGACATCTCCTTATGTTGCTGTTTAATGTTAATATCAACTGTCATCACATATTAAGTAGCAACTAGCCCCGACTGGATGTGGGATCACTGATTTAATTGCTTTACAGTTCACACATCGGTGAGCAAGTCATCAAGCCATGCCCCGCTAAATCGGCTGGCCGGGCCATTCAGAACTTTCACACCTATGCTGCTAATTGGCCTGGCCTGCTGGCGTGTGAATTCAGACCTTGCAGTGACCAAGGTCAGTGTGAATCCATGTAGCTATTGTTTATTCACTAAGATTGACCAAATTTGTTTCTTTTCGTGAGATCAAATTATTTGCAACAAAAAGCGTGAAAATGGGTTCCAACGCCGTGAGACATTTTGGAAGGCTGTTTTTCATGAGTTTCACGCCTAAATCGTGAGATATGGCATGTATGTAAAAGGATCCGGTGGTAATTGCTTTAGGCTCCAGTGAGCACGCTTGCCCAACACCTGTGGGCTTGTCCGGCCCCCTCCCCACTAATTACAGGCCCCCTGTGGCAATACGCCTATCGTGCAACTGACCAGTGGGGTCATTGCTGGACTTGGGTCAGCTGTGTGATTTAATTAATGTCAATTTCTTGTGTAAAAAGACCACTTTCAGTACAAGTAACAAGGTGATACGGTTCATAGTCTAAGGTGATACGGGTCAATTAAGCCGATACAGCAGGGAGGATTTCAAACTGAAGCTGATACGGAGCCGTATCAGCTAAATGGCCTGGGGAGAACCCCGATATATCATAGTAATCAAGATGCGTCTGATTGAAGACAAGAGATCCCAGAGGGATCTTGGCGCCCACCTTTGTACCATCTTCATTAGTTCTGTGTCAGTTCGATCTTTTCTCTTCTTTCCTCTAATCTGTTTGATCGAGTCATGATAACAGTAAATGCACCTTGTGGTAACTTTTGATCTGATGTGTATGAAAGCCAACCTTCAAAGTGAGTTTGTCATTTCACTTATTTACTAGTACAGTACTTAATGTGAAAGAAATAGAATCGATCGTTGCAATATGAGAGAGATCTGTTTAGTTCTTCTTTTAATCCATTTTGTTTTTATGATCAGTCTCAAAATATAACATGCACAACGAGGGATCAAGGGGAACCTACATTTAAATAGCGATTTTCAATATCAAAATCCAAGATGGCTGCCTGTCGGCCATGTTTTTTTATCCGATCAGTCTCAAAAGTTGCCTTGCACAGACAGCTAAGGTCCAAGGGGAACCTGCATATAAAATTTGAGAAAGATCCCTCTGGTTCTTCTTGAGAAATACCGATAACAAGAATTGTTTAAGGACGGACCACGGACACAACGGACGCATGAGGGTGATTTGAATAGCCCACCATCAGATGATGGTGGGCTAAAAATATAAATGTTTGCTGTATAGGAAACAGGGCCTCAATAAAGGGTTGTCTATAGGATTAAAAAAACTCATCCTATGTGACACAATTATCACCAACATCTTTACCTTAATAGAAATCCGACAAAAGAACGGTGCCATCACAGTGACCTAGAATTCAGCAGAATTCATATGGAAATCAAACTGCAAATTTGTTATGTTTTCTTCCTGAATAAAGAAATACCCAACAACGGAAACAACATTTCAGAACACGATTAATCAAAAACTGTATTTATGATAATGGTTATTCATTTTCATATGCATTTATAGAGGGATTATTCTGTTTGCTTCTGATAAATATATGTTTCCACTGGTTTATACCCTGTAGGTGTAGGAAAACACGTTATATGACATCTGACATACCTAAGGGCAAGGCCAGAGCCAAAGGTCAAGTTTGTTATCTGTCCCTGCTGAGCAATATCTATACAGTGAAACCTGCCAATGTCATCACCTCCATTAGGAGACATTTTTAAGAAGCCCTTTTTCATGATCCATTGATTTCATTGTGAATTAAACCTGTATAAAGAGACAACCTACATTAAACGACTACATTTTGAAATCAAGGGTGGTCTCTCAATACAGGTTCGACTGTATTTGTTTATTGGCTGTGGATCTCAAACCCTGGGGACCAATTACCCTAGGAAAGGGTGGTCAAACAAACCCTGGGGACCAATTACCCTAGGATAGGGTGGTCAAGCAAACCCTGGGGAACAATTACCCAGGGATAGGGTGGTCAAAGAGGCCAACCCTGGTAGCATATGTAGTTACATGGTTTGGGTCTCAACCATTTCCAATGCTTGGCAATGTCGACTTAATTCTGCTCATATTTTGAAATTAGAAACAAGTCTTTCCAATCTTAAGTTAAAAGTTGAGTTAATATTTACAATATAAATGGATTTACAAGTTTTGAAGTCAGGTATTTTTTAAATCATTGTGAAATTAAAAATACATAAATGAGTTATCCGATTTTGTAGGAATTCATTGTTCAGCCCACAATCTTTGGATTAATTATGCTAACGAGTCAAGCCACCAATGTTTGATCAATTATGCTGATGAGTCAAGTCATCAATGTTTGATCAATGTTTGATCATTTATGCTGATGAGTCAAGCCCCCAATGTTTGATCAATTATGCTGATGAGTCAAGCCCCCAATGTTTGATCAATTATGTTGATGAGTTAGATTTAATGATTGGTGGACAGACATTGAGATAACTATAGAGAGCATCTGTACCTCTGCAGGCCCTACATATGTGCTTAATGCATCGAAATTATCAAGCCTTGCATAGACAAAAATGTACACCAAAGTCCTATAATAAAACACACTTTTCACTTCCAGTGAATATCTCAGAATCAAGGTGTTTATGTCCAGTAGTGGATAACAAGAGATCCCAGAGGGATCTTGGCGCCCACCTTTGTACCATCTTCATTAGTTCTTTGTCAGTTCGATCTTCTATCTTCTTTCCTCTAATCTGTTTGATCGAGTCATGTTAACAGGTAAATGCACCTTGAGGTAACTTTTGATCTAAACTTAATACTGATGTGTATGAAAGACAACTTTCAAAGTGAGTTTGTCATTTCACATATTTACTAGTACAGTACTTAATGTGAAAGAAATGGAATCTATCATTGCAATATGAGAAATATCTGTTTAGTTCTTCTTTTAATGCATTTTGTTTTAATGATCAGTCTCAAAATATAACATGCACAACAAGAGATCAAGGGGAACCTACATATAAAATTTGAGAAAGATCCCTCCCGTACTTCCCGAGAAATAGCGATAACAAACTTTCACTATCAAAATCCAAGATGGATGCCTGTCGGCCATGTTATTTATCCGATCAGTCTCAAAAGTTGCCCTGTACAACTAAGGACAAAGGGAAACCTACATATGAAATTGAGAAAGATCCCTCTAGTACTTCTTGAGAAATACCGATAACAAGAATTGCTTAAGGACGGACCACGGACGGACCACGGACGCAGGGTGATTTGAATAGCCCACCATCAGATGATGGCTAAAAAACTAACAAAAGGCCTATTGTATTGGGCACCTGTCTTTCATCACACATCTTTGACCTTCAGTGAGGGTATTGGTCAAATTTATCTAAATAGGCAAAATATCCCTTTGTTATTAGAATGTTTTAATCACTTTGCTCACTCCAAACCTGGTTAAAATGCCATCGCCCACACTAAAGAAGGAGGAAATTAAATATTTACCACTGTTTCCCCATTAGACCCTTGCCCCTCATACATCCATAAGGTTTAGACAGCAGTTTCATTGGATTTTCATTCACTAATTTAAAATATTGTTAAGTATGTAATAGCTTTTTGTCTGGTACAGTAGATGGTTGAGTTTGATAACATACAGATTATACTTGACAGGTGAAGGAAAGAGACCCAACTGTTGTTAATATATTGTCCCAAGGTCATAAACAGATTGACAGCCCTTACATAATTTGTGTCACTGTGTCCGGATTCCCAGTCAGAAGACAAAAGCAATTTTTTCATACTTTTTCAGATCGCCCCAAACATTCAGATTCAGTATTCCCATGGTAACAGGTTGACATCAACATTCTTTTATGATTTCATATTTTCTTATTTCCAAGGAAAATACATTTAGATGTCATCAAAACTAAAATCACCGATTTGTCTGATATGTAAGCAAGAATTGGTTTATGCCAGTAATATTAAGGTGTTTTGAACATTGTCTGATACTCAAGTAAAGTTTTAGAATTTCAGTCTCTGTAAAATATAAATGCTTACAATTTTGTGTAATATATAACTAGCTTTGTCATCCAGGTTTCATCAATCCATTGTGAAATGGCTGGATTTAGCAGACACTTTAAACGGAAATGGGAGAATCTGTCAAAAAATTGGTTAAAAAGTGGCCCGACTGCACACCAATGTCTACAAGTAAAATGTTTACCTTGTTACGTTGCTCCCGTGCTTCACTGCTGCTGCTGCTGCTGTTACTACTGGCAACAGATCCTGGACTGTCACTGAAAAAATCCAGATATTCAAGACATAAACATTAAAAGATATTTAGGAACCCAGTACTGATGGCTGCAAAACTTAACTGGTACATTTTCCTCCCAATATTGATTGCTATAAGTTTTAATGTCACCTCAAGGGTAGCAGGACCTTAGGTATGTATTATCTGCTTTTTCACATTGAAGTCCAGTGATTGATTTCCTCAATGCTCTTAAATGTAATAATCAATGACGTTGTATGAACCATCTGTGACGGGGAACACAAGTTGTCACTGTGCTGTCTGTGGGTTTACAACATTAGAAGGCCACATAACCACTGTCTGGCATGCTTAACACTATCTGTATTGGTCCGATATAAAAAACAATAAGTCTAATTATTTTAAATTTTCAAGATAACATTCAAAGCTTTCACACTGCGGCAGTTAACCGTGATTTAATCTCCCCCTATTTTATACATGACTTTTATACAAAGCATTATGATGTGTACGACTTCTTACCACACTGAAGCTGTAGCTTATTACAGGGATCTAAGATATACACAAAATGAAAAAATAAATCTACTTTTCCAATCAATTTCTCTTTGTGTATGGCACCAGTGTATAACATGCTGTTGCGTTATTTTCTACAAAGAAACCACATGGTCAGAACTAAATACACTATAATATAATGATTACCGAACAATCACTTTTCACGATCATTTTGTTGCTATTAGGGTTTAACATAAAACTTATATAAAACATTTGTGTCCTACATTTACTTTCAATCCTTTCCTTTTCCTTTGATATATTTCCGCATCAATTCTTCAGAATTATTATTTGTTAATTGTAACAGAGATTGTAGGTGGCACCCAAGCCTACGTTTTCTCAAAGTAACTTTTTATTGGTCCAATGGACCTATTTCATTTCAGTAGTAATAACCGTACTACTGGAACGGTAGTATGCATACTCTGTACCTAAACCCATCTTTATAACCCAAAGCAAAGGATTAGAAAATCCATCTTTCCTTCCCTGAATGAAAGGTTAATACAAACAAATGAGATTTCTTTGTCATATCTCCATCTCCTTCCTTGGCATCCTGACAACTGACAGGATGTGGTGTTGGATTTGTCAGTCCTTGTGTTTCATTTTGTTGCTTCAACTCATCTGCCATCTTTTAAGCCTGTCAATTTTGATGTTAACTGAAAGTTTGTGCCATTTTTGGCCAGTCATTTTTCCTCGTGCACCAAGTGCAGTGTATCAGTGTCTGTTTTGTTGGTATTGATTCACTAATCTGCATCACACTGTATCTTTTCTGCATTGTTTTTCTCGTTGCAGCTGTTTATTTGTGTACCAATGGACCTTTTTGTTAGTGTCGACCCTTTAGTCTGTGTCATGGTGTATATTTCCACGCTGCTCATTACAGCACAGAAGGTTATTTCAATACAGTTTGCTACCCATATAGTTTGTTACTGTAGCGGAACTGGACTAGGTTGATCGTCGGCGACCAGGTAGCTCAATTGGTCTAGTATCTGTCTAGAGGTCGGAGAGTCCCAGGTTCGACCTCCACTTAGCCGTTGCATTGGCTCATTTGTTGTTTATAGCTGCTCATTATACTTGTGTATTTAGGATATTGTTTATCATAGCTCATACTGGCCAGTAACAGGGGTCAGCTTATGGGGGTTTGCATTCTTTGGGGACCCGCATGATGTTTGTCTCCAGGGCCACCCTTGTTCCAAAGAGTCTTCTGTTCAGTTATACTTGCTTGCCTCCCAAAGACGTTCAATATTCCAAATCAACCTGGAGGTGCAACAAGTAAGGACTGATATAGCATAGGCTCTTGTATTGTCTTGTGAATTTCCTACTTTTCATTTCAACAGATCCTCCAGACAGACAGGGTTGTCCCTCCATTCCAGGAACACTCTGAAGCATGGAAGGGGACTGTCAGACCTGGGTTTGGCATAATCACAGGATGAATCGGCAGCAAATAGATAAGCTGGAGTCAAAAAATTAGTGGCTTAAACGAGCAAGTGATTGGATTTGGAAATGTTAACCACTTTTACGGACCTTATCACAACCTGTTGAAAATACTTATAAACCAATGCTGTTATGCAAGCTGAAATGAACTCAAATCAGATTATCACCGGACAACTGGGCAGTCCATGTAAAAACAACACTCGCATATAAGTGGCCACAACATATTTATGTGTACACAGAAGGTGATTAATTATTAGTTTACTCCTACAAAGGTACAACACATTTGATTTTCTTTCGAATGAAGTCACTGGCGGATGATGACGCTTGGGATCAGCGTTTTCAAACGGTTTACCTGTATATCGAGGTTTAACCCGAAAATGATGACACTCAAAATACTTTGCACAACACAAGGGATTGGGGTGCACAGCAAAATTTAACCCCCGCAAATATGTACCGATTACAAATTACAATAAGATTAGATCAACAGTCAATTAATTGACACTGTACGAGATTTTTAAGCTGCATTCACTAGCAATCCTGATTTTGAACAATTCAGAAATTCATACAGGTTCAGCTGATTTAAATATTCTTCTTCATCAAGCTTTAGGCGACGCATGCAAACCACAGATAAAACAGGTTGATTCAACCGTCGAGGTTTGCTCTACATGTTTCACCCTAGTTTCGTTTGGAGATGGTGGTGCAATGCCATGGTGTCTGAATCAATATATAGGGCTTCCTTATAGGTCAACATGGACTAATAGAATCCATCCCTGATGTGAGGTATGGATAAGGTTATTCAAACCCAAGGGATAAAATATTGAGCAGGAGACCCGAGGCTTGTACCCTGCTTTTCGCTAACCATAAAATTTAACTGTAACAAGTAGTTTTGTTTTAAACAGTGGTTGTAATTACTTTGTTCAAATGAAAACTGTTAACAAATGCTGCTTTAATAGTTTTTACTAAACTTGATTTCATCATCCTCCGGCTTGCTTTCACATTGTATCATCCAGATGCTTGAACTAGACTAAGTGATTTAAAAGGCTATTAAAGTGCCTAACCAACCATGGTAAGTAGTGTGCACAACAATAATCCAGGAGGTTGGGAAACGTTTATGTTTTGAAAATGTGTTCAAACTGTTTTCAACAAATGACTTATAGAATTGTACAAACAAGTGATGCATTAACCCTAGTGGTGCTGAATTGTTCCATATGGGGATACACCTAGTGCTGAATTGTTTGAATTTTTTTTTTTTAAATTCAGTAAAAACAAATTATGTTTAAATGTTCTTCAGAATTGGATCTAAGCCATTAAAGTCGTTTTATAACCGAGATATACCTAAAACATGTATATTTAGGCCATTTATACTACCAGTTGTGTTACTGATGTTTTACAATTCGCATCAAAACAGGCAAAATCAAATTTTCTCTATTCTCACTATAACTTGCAAAATTATATCTAAATGGTGTTGATATAATATGCAAGAGATTAGATAGTATCTATCATAGATATAATTACATATTAGACAGGTTGTAGAAAGATGTTTGGTAAGTTTTCAGTATCATGTAGGGGAGATAACTCATCAGTGTGGAAATTCAAATTTTTCATAAATTCATATACTAGTTTTCATGTAGTGTCGATGTCAATGTAAGCTGATCCAGCTTCTTGGGATACTAATACCACTTATAAAACATACCTGCAGAAAATAATCTTCATACTCCATATCCTTCAGTTCCAATTAAGTGAAAACAAAGTCGGTCTAATCATTATAAGCAATATACAGGGTATAACCATACAAGTCTAATATTGTCCATCTAAACAATGAAAGTTAGTAGTGAAATGGTAAAATATATACACATCGGATTTTACATTACTCTTCGGTGTGGTCTTGTTCTCCTAACTTTTGCCATTTGTAGGCTTAAATATATTCTGACTTTGTGTGATACAACTGAAAGCAGGGCTCGATACACAATGGTACACAACACTGCTGGCACTGAAAGCAGGTTTCGTGTCCTGTCCTTTTTGGAGGTACAATGCCTGGATTGGACGATTTAAAAATGTCGGCTCCAGCTGGCCCACACACAATGCACTGTCTCCTGCCATGAGCTCTTTTGTTTTGTTGATGGTAAATGGCTGAGGAAATGCCTTGCTGTTAATCTTTGAAAGATTCAGATTTCACCTTTCTTCTTTTTTGACCCATTCTTGGAACTTCAGCAGCTTCAACCATTTGGGCCACAAGCTCTCTCCTGAATACTCTTTGCTGAACTGGTTGAGGGATCCTGTACTTGTAGAGGAGATACGAATTTAACACTGCTAGACCAAGCATATGGAAAAACACTTTCTTCCACCACTTTAAGGTCCACCTGTTAAAACCTCCATAGGCAACCATCTGGTCACAGCGGTCAACAGCGCCCATGTGACGGTTATATGAAAGGACACAGTCTGGCTTACGAATGTGGTTACCTTCATGATCTCGTTTCCCTGTGTCAACCATGCTACCTGTTTTAAAGCAGGGTAAAAGTATGGAATGCTGATATGCAAATGGTTACCAGATGCTGTAGTTAACTTAAATACAAGTTTTGAATGTAGTTGTGAAATTCTATGTGCAACTTTTTTTTCAAACGATTCACTGATCAATGTTGGTTAAATTTATTGTTTTATGTTCATAAAATGAAGTTCATATTTATTTAACCATAATAGCAGGGATTTGGATCTGTGTAGACTTTTTTATTTTTAATTAACCTGAAGTTTATAATACTGTTCTGTACAGTGTATCATATATACATCATTTCAACACTGCAAGGTTATATATCATGTACGCATAAATGTACATCTTAAAACTGATGTAAACATAATTTTGATGCTTTTACCTTCATGTATTGTAGTTAGGAGACAGACATCCTTCTTATCAGCATATTTCATGCCAACAAGAGTGCCATTGTTGACCACAAATATCTCCCCTTTAGCAGGTTTTGTAGATTTCAGACTCTGTGGAATACCCCGTCTGTTACTTCGCACAGTTCCACATGCAAGTGTTGCATTTAGATACAAGTTATTAAA